GCCATCATTGCTTTATCCTTTTTTTGACTTCATTCCCTGTTTTTTGCACACTCAGCAGCACGATGTCCACTAACACCACAGGAAAAGTAGAGACCAGATTCTCTTGAGGGAGATTTGTCATTTCTACTTGTAAATTTTCCTTGTTTTCAACCAAAAGTGAACTTTCCATGTGATTGGTGATTTGAGTTCTAGAGGACTTCTCAATCTTTTTGAACTCTTTTCCTTTATTGTTGAGAATCCTTCTAAATTCTTTGACAAGTAGGGCAATATCATCTTGTGAGGTTTGTCCAGTTATACCCTCACTGTTCACAACACTTTGAAGGGCCACTTCTTTTCTCTTCTTGGAGTCATTTTCATCCATATCAAGCTCCATCTCATAGGTGATGAGTTTCACAACCAATTTTCTAAGCTTGATCTTATGTAGGTCCTGAAACTCTTGAATGGCAGCCTTCTTTGCTTGAAATCTCTTAGGTAAATATCTCAAAATCTTTTGAACAATGGTAGTTTCATCAATAGGTTTCCCCAACCCTAAGGCTTCATTTGTCAACGTTTCAACATTCTCATAGAAGGCAGAGAAGGTTTCAGACTTGAGCATTCTCAAATCCTCAAATTTTGAAAGAGTCATTTGGAGCTTTAATTCTCTCACTTGTTTATCATCTTTATGAAGAATTTAGAGTTTATCCCAAACTTGCTTGGTAGTTGTGCAATATCAAACATGAGCAAACTGATTAGACAGAATGGCATAAACAATAGCATTTTTTGCTTTCCTAGTAGCCATGGCCAAAGTAATTTCTCCTTGAGTCCATTCACCTTTTGGCTTAATCATAGACTCTCCATCAGCCTCGATGAAGCCTTCCATTCAAGGGTGAGATAATCAACAACAATACAATTTTGAGCCACAAGAAAGATTTGAAACTTTTCATTCCAAGTAGCATAATTTGAACCATCAAAGAACAGAGAAGAGTTGCGAGATCCCGCAACATCTTGCAGCACGATCACGATCCATGGTGAGATTCCATCCATTACCAGTAGCTCTCAGAAATCACTCTATATATATCTAGAGCAAATCTCTGATGCTAATTGAAATTGATACCAGGTGGAATAACCTGCAATTTAAAATCTATATATGTGCTTGTCTGACAAGTCAGCAACACTCATCAACTAAGATCAGATATGTCAGTTTACTCACAGCGGAAGTAGTCAATTCAAGGCTCAGTTTACTAAAGTGTTCCTAGCTAACTAAGATCCAGTTCAGTGCACCTTTTAACTCTGATAATCTTAGTTGCATGGACTTATCTATTTGCCAATAATGATGAATATATATCACAAGCAAAAAGTAGTGATAAATTGCATGAGATATTTTTGGTTGAAAAAACCCACCTCTGGGTTAAAAAATCAAGGATTCTCCACTGAGTCCAATCCATTAGTGTAAACAAGGTTCATACAAAGACCACATAAGCTCAATTCCTAGATCCCTATCTACTAAGCAGCTTTACCTTTGTGCAACCTTGCTTTACACGAGATGAACTCCCTTGGTCTTCACTAAGTGGCAACTCCTCCTGAGCTCTTCACCTTATGGCACTGATATCAACACGATCAATGAAATTATATGCATACAAAATCTAGATTCAAACAACTAGTTAGATTCTCCAGTCAAACAATTGAAGGAAGCTTTTAACTTGAATCCAAAAGTTTGGTCTAAAAATGGATTTAAAGCTTAAAACTAGACCAAGAACTTAACGCAAAACCTTAAAACAATGCAACCCTAATATACAATGATTGGGTGTTTAATGCATGAACTTGGTTTTACAGCTAGGGTTCCATAAATGAAGAAGAGGTAAGCTCAAATTTTTGAAGGCACATTCTCTCTCTTTCTAAAAAAAATTCTGAACTAGAAAAAAAAAAAAAAAAACAAAGAACCCTAGCTCGGGGATGTTAACCCCAAAAGCATCAAATTGTTTTTCACCTACCAAGGACACTTGTCGTACGACAAACTAATCAAAAGAGATTAAGGGCTGAGATCTGACCATCAACAAAAAGCTATTAGGAAGCCCATATGGGCAACTCTTAATTTGTGTGCCCAGCCAGCTGGAAAGCAGCGAGTAATTCTGACTAAACAACAAAACTAAACAGAATGCACCAAGAATACAGACATGAAATGCACATGCATGACCAAACCTTTTGAAGTGAAGTGAGCCACATTCTTGAATGTTTAATCCCAGTAGCCATAGTCCATAATCAGATAATGTAGTCTAAAACTAAATTGAGCATGTGGTACACAAATACAATATTTGACAAGGAAAGCCAAATACTTAAGACTAAACTTTACAATATCCGTGTGGGATCATTTGACCCACATTAAGCAAATTTTCATATAAACCGGGAACCAACATCACTTCATTAATGTATCTTATTCCATTCTTAGTCTTAATCAGTGAAGTACCTTTCCATGTGGCTTGTACAGTCTGACCATTACCCATTTTGATCATAGTATTCACAGTCATGTTCACATTTATGAGTAATGACTCATATGAAATCAAGTGGTTACTATAACCACTATCAATGAAACATTTATGCTCATTCTTAACCATGGTTGCATAATCGCATGCAAAGAACATTGAAGTTTCCTCCTCAACTTGCTTGGCATAATGAACTTGATGAACCATTTTACGTTTGCAATCCGTGGCAATGTGACCAAATTTGTCCCACTTGTGGCACTTTTGTTTTCCATTGAACCAACATTCACTATAGTTTAAGTTTCCACAAGTTTTACAACCTTCCTTTGTATTTTCTTGTTGCCATTACATTTCAAAATTGTCCCAAATATCTCTCATGCTTCCAAAACTTCTTATTCTTGAAATTACTAAGTTGGGAACTATTTCTAGCCTGCATACTAAGGCTACTGAATGCTCGCTCAGTCACAGCTTCATCCTCAACATGCCTAATAAGCTTTTGTTCACATCCTTTGAATGTAGCAACCACCTAACTAGACTAATCTCACTTAACTTCTTAGTTCCCTCAATCACAGATACGATGCATTCATATGTTGGAGTAAAATTAATCAATAATTTCTAAATTCTCTTGTTTGGAAAATTTTCACCATACATTTTCATTTGATTAATCAAATCCAAATAATCTAAAAGTCAAGTGATCAGACAATGCTTCACCATTTCTCATTCTAGGATATTCAAAGTCATGATGAATACCTTAAAGTTTCACTGCCATAACTTGTAAGTCACCCTTATACTACTGCTTCAAGACACCCCAAGCTGCTTCGGTACCTTAATCCATGAACCTTTAGAAGTTTTGAGACTTGAAAATCTCCCTCATTCCGATACACCAGAAGTCATAGTTAACTCTGCTGAAGATTGGAGCTCGAAGCGCAGCTCAAGATCCAACCCATCTCATTCTTTGATTCAATTGAGTTCTTCGTTGAAAACCCAAAAGATTTATTCAAAGTTCACATCCCTTGATTCAAATCGAACCAAGCTCTAAGACCATGTTAATGTTTGTTAACTAAATTGAATTGTATTACTCAGTGTTTTGTGCAAATTAAATGAAAGAAATTGAAGTTACTATCTGTGCTTAAGGAAGAAGACGGAGTTCGTAGCTCCTATTAATTCATTCACACACTTTAAGCATTCACACTGAGATCCAAAACAAAAGGAAAGGAATAACATAACAATTGGAGCTACACATGCCCCACACGAGTCAAGCATCTGAGGTGATCTCGTGCACATCACGCTTTCACTTAAACACACATAGCTGATATGACAACTGACATAATGCAAGCCATTGAGATGTTCTAATCCTAGCCGTATATCGCAACTAGAACTAAACTTCGAAAAAAAAAAGAAGAAGAAAATGAAGAACAGATTGCAGAAGCTTGAGCTTGGTTTGATCTGAAACAAGCTTACTTCTCAACAAGAAGAACCTATATGTGTGTGTGTGTGTGTGTTGTTTATTAAACGCAAGGACCAACCATGTATAAAGGCCAAAATAAAAAGAAACAAGTACAAAATAAAGAATAAATTTGAACTAACTAAAAGTAAATAAATCTTACCTTAAAGACTTTGATCTCCCACTGGAGTGATAATCCATCAAGCCTCCAGTCAATGTTGTCAGGAACATGCACAACAAGATACTCCCAAGGCGTAGAATTTCCTAGTGATGACGAGGTAGAGACTGAAGGTGCGTAAGTCTAACCTTCAAAATACATTGCAGAGAATTCTCTGCTTGTCATATCAGAAAACTTGTTTATACCCTTCCTCAATGAGTTTCTCCCTTCTTCCTGACTGTTGAAATTATCGACGGCCTCATATATCTTCTTAAAGATGCCAAAGCGCCTCTCACTTTCAGTATTATTGGGTATGTGCAACACTAAGTGTGACCCCACACTTTAAATGACTATTCACGAAAATTCAAATTTTTGTAACTAAATAATTAACACTCAATTAACGAAAATAAAATAAAAAATGAAATCGTCTAAATATGAAATGCGTAATTAAATAATGAAATTCGGGGATGGGATTTCACAAAGTATGCCTATTTCTCGAGAATGGAGAATCACTATGTAGTTGTTCTTCCTTTGGTGCTGGTTGTTAGGTTGGGTTGTTGCAGCTGTTTACAGGCTTCCTGCATTTTTTGTTTTTATCTCGGTCTTTGTTGCTGTTATTGTGTTGTAATTTGTTGCTTCTCTTGGTTCTCTTTTAATATAATTCTCTTTTAATATAATCATTCATTTACCAAAAAAAAAAAACGCACACAAGGTAAAATAACCGAAACAGCAACGAAAAGATGTAAATATACATAACTCTCTAGCTAAGCTAGTTGTGACCACATTTGCCTACTGCATCCAGAGACAGAGCCACAGGGACACCCCCCCCCCCCTCCTCCTCCTCTCTCTCTCTCCCTCTCCCTCCCTCTCTCTCTGATTGATCCTTCAGCAAGCACGCGGTCCCAGCTCTTTGAATTCATCAACTCAGTATCCTGACTCAGACTGAGTTTAAATATATGTCAACATTAACCTCGAGTTTTCGAGAATGACTTACTTACTACATGGCGTATCCAGTATTCCAAACTAATAACACAACGAAATATGGAGAAAGACTTACATACAACATTATATTATTCGTCACGGGAACTACTGTGGTGTCTAGAAGTTGTATATGTTAGTCCTTCCCCGAGTGTTCCGATTAGGACTCTAGTGATTGCTAGTGAATTGGCTCATTGAAGATGCAAACTTGGCTAGATCTTGTGGAAAAACCATTTGCCTATTGTTATGGGAGAACTGATCAGCATGATCTCCTCCTCCTCCTCCCATGCCCAAAAAGTCTCTAGTTGGACTGTTTTGACGATCAATCGTTCCGATATTGTTCGAACCCCTTTGAATGGTATTCATCAGCTGCTCAAGTGTAGTAGAACTAGTATGTGATGATGAACTTGTTAATGAACTCAAATTTGCACTACCACCACGTGATTGATGTGCATTTTGAACAAATTGATGAAGCTCGTTCGATCGATCCTGGTTCAAATTCGAGAAACCCATCAAAGTGTTGGAAAAAGATGACGAGGACATTACATTTACACCCAAGCTGCTTCCTTGGTTGTTGCTGCTTCTAGTCGAACCCAATTGAGCTGCTTTTTGTAAAAGTGCTGTGGCGGACATTGGGGCTGCCGGTGGCTTAGAAACGTTGCTGCCTACCAGATTACTATTGTTTCCGATGAGTTTCTTAGTCCCGCTTTCTTGAACTGGTGACAATGACAGATTCGCACCACTTGTTGAAGCTCCAAAAGTTGACATGGAATCAGATGAGCCAAAAAGATTGACATTGTTGGAAGATGATGGCATTTGCACCATTTCAGGAAAAGTATTAGAGCTTGATGATGTTAGATAAAGCGGATGATTAGGATTTGCTTGCATCTCATCCATCAGATTAATCTGATTAGAATTACTATTTGCCTGCTGATTCAACCAAAGTGACAATCTAGACTTCTCGTGTTGATGAAGCTGATCTAAGCCGTTAAAATCTTGCCTCATCAAACCTTGCTCATACTGCATGGAAATTTGAGACCCATCTTGAACTACTGCTTGACTATTGTTCATCATTGGATTGTTTAACATTGCATCATTTCCAAAGTTGAGATTTGTAGGAGCTCCAGCAACTGATGAAGTAGCGAGCCTAGCGCTCTCTTCAGTTAGGGCGTCACAAAATGCTCTATGCGTTATGAAGCTATCTTTCCTGTAATTAAGGGAAATTTCATGTAAAAAAAAAAAATAATAATAATAATAAATAAAAAATGAAACCCCATTTATTACCCAATCATATATATATATATATATATATATGGTTGCATTAATTTAAAAACCCTAAAACTCATGAAACTCTATACACGTTATGAGCATTCAATTCTTCTTCAAGTAAGCAAACATTAAAATTACTCAAAAATAGAAAAAAAACCCTCTGTATTTATGGAGATATGTTACCTGGAAAAAAGGGTTCCACAGTCACACTTATACTCTCTAGTCCCACAGGTCTTGGAGTGAGCTTTCCAATCCGATTGGACTGCGTATTTCTTCGAACACTTTTCGCACTTCCACTTCTTCTCTCCATGTTTTCTGCTGAAATGCTTCTTTATTCCGGTGAGGTCTCCGAGAGCTCTGGATGGGTCGTGGTGGACGCAGGTCTTCTCGGGGCAAATATAAACTTTCTTCTTCACCTCTTTGTTCAGTCTCTGCTTGAGCTTCCAAGGAAGGTTGTGACCCCTTCGGTGAAGTTGCAAATTCTGATCTCTCTGGAAACCCTTGTTGCATATTTCGCAGACGAAACGGTTTTTTGCCATTAGGGTCGTCGGAGATAGGGCCAGAACCTCAGCATCTGGATCTGTTGAGCCAAAATATGAAACAACAAATAGAGAACAAACCCACCAAAATATGTACTAGTAAATTGAATATATGTATTGTATGTTCGAGGAGATTCAGAGAAGATTAGCGTGGCTTCTGTGCCCGCCTGAGAATGAAAAGCATAAGTTGGAAATTAAAGTATAATATTATAAATGAAGTAGCGGTAGGTTGCTTGCCTGGTGTTCCTGGGAGATTTCTCTTCTTCTTCGCGACGGGGTTAGGAGGATTGGGTTTAAGGACGCTAGGGTTTGCATTTAGTTGATGCTCTTGAGCAAACCCATCAATGGCGGATGGCATATTAATGGAAAACCCATCACCGGACATCATTTGCATCTCTCTCTTTGTAGTTTAGTCGCTCACAAAAAGATAAAAGAAAAACAGACTAGTTTTGGAAAGGCTCTAAGGAGACTAAAAGAAGAAAAAGAAAAAAAAAACAAGTGTTTTGTGTTTAGACTTACACTCCAATCGATTCTGCCAAAACCGAAGTCAAGTGTTGTTTCCTTAAGTAATACTTTAAATTACAAAAACCCTTTCACAAAAATATAGGACGCTAGAGGTTGATGATGATCTGGTTTTTGCCTCTGTCTGGTTGATTTTCTAAGAGAAAAAAACCAAAAAACATGATGCCTAAAAGAGAACATATCATCTTGTATATTTTTCTGGCTAACCTCTCTCTCTTTCTCTATATTTCTTCTCTGCTGTCATATAGTCTCACGCGTTTAAGTCTCTCCTTTATCCTCAAAGTCGGTCAGCCGTATATTTTGATGGGCCACCACCCTCGCTATCTCCTCAGACAGTAGAGTCACACACATGAGAGCAAATTATATGAAATGATTTCGTTATTATTATATTGTTTTAGTTTGATAATACTTTGTTGTAAACTGAAAAACTTACATGTAATAATGTATTATTATCCTAGAATGTGACATAACGATAAACTCAGCCAGTATTACTCTACACACACGTACTCAAAAGTGGAAGTGTGTGAGAGGCATAGTCATGAGCTAGCTTTAGCTAGGGGCTGCAAGCGAAAGCAGAATGTGTAGGGTAGTGTGCATTTTGTTGTTTTCTGAGCTCAAACCCCAATTATGTTTACAAATATATAATTAGTTAAAAGGTGAAAGGTTTTTGAAGCTAGCGATCGAATCAAAAAGGTAATTCTCAAAAAGTTACTTGCCTTTTTACCAGCCTGTCGAATTTGATCGGCTTAAAATGATTATTGCCATAATTAAAGTTGGACTCAAATAAATTAATACTTAAGCAGAGATGTATCAGACATGAGTGTGTAAATTTGTGCGTGAATATGCATGTAGTTCCCGAGGCGTTTGAAAGGACCGTCCGTGATACCTCTGTCTCTCTCGATGAGTTTTCTCTGTGGGAAAAAGAGGGGACTCAGAAAGCTGAGGATTGTGATGTATGATCGATGCATGCATGCTGCACTGTCCATCATGATCATGATCATGATCATGATCATGATGGTGATCGTGATATTTCTTACACATATACGATCGTATAAGCTGTCATGCTGATATTACTGATCATCTTCCCGACTTACTGTATTTTTAGGTAATAGTACCAGGTCACTACTGGAGAGTGCAGGCCATCTATTCAAATGAATTAGAAAATCTTGGGAAATGCTGGGATCATCCCACGAGCATGTGGGTGTGGCCGCGATTAATCCTACTACTTCTCCAAATTCTTCTCTTAATATCTTATGATTATAACTCACTAACCAAATATTTGTCTATTTTTAAATTAAATTCTTTTGTTATATCTAATTGATTATGGACACATCAAATAGTAATGAACTCGCTAAATTACTTTCCTCACATAAATTAGTTTCTTCACATGCTTGGTAAATAATCTAATACTTAAGCTATTAGATAGTAATAATGTTATATATGATATATGATTCCCACCTAATGTTCAGTAAATAGAAGGTTTCTTTCATATGCATAGAGATCGGGAGAGAGGATCAATGAATTATACTTGGTCTTAACTTGAACTCACCAGACACTCCTTCATTAATGTAGTTTTTAAATTTCAAAATCTTAAATAAATAATAAGAGTAATGCTACACTTACCACATATTGTACAATCTCTTTACTAGAGGTAACACTCACCAACACATGTGGGTCCGGTCTTTATAAGAGAAATGATACAAATGATGATACAAATATATAGTAAGAGTAACAATTTTAAAATAATAATCTTTGAAAGATGCATGAGTGAAAAAATAAACCATTCGAATCACAAGATCGGATCAGAACCACATAGCTGGTGAGACATATGATAATGTAGACATTGTCAATTTAATTAAGCTCTTGAGGTTCTAATTAACGTAATTAAATCTTAGTATTTGTACGAAATATAGCAACTGTAGTCCAATATAATGTACCTTCTTAATGATCCGATCATTTCATGTGTATATTCAGAACACTCAAGGGCTAACTAGTTAATCAGTCACCTAAAATGGTGTTAGCCACTCGTTTGAGACTTTGAGTACATTTCACAAATTTCTAATAATTTTAACCGATCATTTATTAGGTTATCGCTAAAAGGTCATCTCTACAAAATTCACTAAAATCAGAAGTTATTTATAGTTTTCGAACTATGGTTTGACAAATAGACAAACATAGTGTATAGTCAATAGGAAATGCTCACAATTATGAGATAATCTATGAGTGATGACCTAAAAAATAACTATTCGCATCATGAAATTACTTTGTAGGATATCTCTAGATCAGTAATTAGCATTGTTTAACTTAATAATTAGTTAACACTTGAGCGATCCTTTGTGTGTGTGTGTGTGTGTGTATGTAATTGAGGAGTTAACTAATTAGATTGCATGCAACCCTCTAAGACCATGTTAGTAGTTGAGATAGGCCTACTTAATTACATGATCAAGTTTCCATTAAGCCGCCCAAGTTACAGCCTAATTAGTTGGCAAAGTTGACTTCTGCAGTTTGCAGAGAACTCCAATTTCTTTCACTACAAAGCTTTGATACTCTAGATCCATGCTTTATGGTATGACTTTTCAATTTTGACCTATGACAACATATACAATAATTTAGTTATAGCTTTGGAATACCACGAATTTCTTGCTCTATAGTAAATAAACCGACCAGTTGGGTCTTGAGAAAATTTCTGCATAACCTAAGTAGTAGTTTGGAACATCACAAAACATGTAAATACATCCCGACTGCGTCAGAGGAGCTAAACAAGTTTATGTTGACGTCGTCTGGACTGACTTTGAGCAGAGCTACGGTTTGTTAAAGTTTGATTTAGAGTATGCTGATTCAAGAGAAGAAAGGAAATCACAGAAAATGGAGATGAATATGAGTGCTTCTCTCTCTGCAAAATCACATAGAATGTTCTTCTTTCTATATTCTCATTTTTACTCACATTGCACTACATAACGGTTAGTTAAGCATTTGGATTCTCACCATTACATCAGGAAATGATCTCAGCCACACATCTAGCTAAGTTCAAGGATACTTCCACATGTCACTTAGACAAAATTACAATATGAGCCCTACATTTGGTGAAAATAACCAAAGTGGATACACAACTAAATACAAGGCTTATTTTACTAAACTCATATTAGCTCAATGCTTATACACTAACACTCCCCTTTAAGTTTTGAGCTGATATGACTCCAAGCGTATCTCTAAGATAGTTGAACCTTTCCCTTGGTAAAGCTTTGGTAAAAATGTCTACTGCTTGCTTCTTGGTAGGGCAATAGACAAAATCGATAATTCCTTGCTGCAAGGCACCTTTAATAAAGTGATACCTTCTGTCAATGTGTTTTGTCCGTTGATGAAACACTGGATTCTGAGTTATGTGTTGTCACACTGCAAAGGAGTTGCTTCAGTTTGTAGCTCCCCAAAATCCTCCAGAACAAATTTGAGCCATATAGCATGAGCTGTGGCTTCTGATGCACTGATATACTATACCTTTGTAGTTGAGAGTGCAACACAATTTTGCTTAACAGATGCCCATGAAAAGACTTCATTTCCAAAGGAGAATGCATAGCCTAATGTGTTTTTGCTGCCATTAATGAAACCTCCCCAGTCACTGTCACAGTATCTAATTAGCATTGCATTCCTTCCTTTTTTCATACTTCAATCCATAATCTAGTGTCCCTTTGACATATCTGAGAACTCTCTTGGTTATCGTATAGTGCTTATTTGTGGGACAATGCATATATCTAGCCAGTAAGCTAGATGCATACATCACATATGGCCTTGTAACAGTGAGATATAACAAACTTCCCACAATCTTCCTCTATTGCTCTTCATTTGCTGTACCACTTCCATCATCCTTGCTTAATTTTTTAGTAGCAACAAGTGGGATAGAGACATATTTGCACTCACTTAAGCCAAATTTATTCAACAAAGAAGAAGCACACTTCCTTTGATGAATGAAAATGCTTGAATCAATTTGAATTACTCCCATTCCCAGGAAATGATGGAGAAGTCCTAAATCTGTCATTTCATATTTCACCTTCATGTCTTCTTTGAATTCATCCAACTTCTCTTCATTGCTTCTTGTATATACTATGTCATCCACATAGATAGACACAATTAGTATATCTTTCTTTCCCCTGTCTTGATATAGACAATTGCTTCACTCAAGCTTTTCTCAAATCCACATTGAGCAAAATAGATGTCAATCTCAAAATACCAGGCTCTAAGTGCCTGTTTTAATCCATAAAGGGCCTTGTGCAATCTATAGACATTGTCTTCCTTGCCATTAATCACAAATCCCTCAGGTTGATCAACATACACTCTTCCTGCAATTTTCCATTCAAAAATGCAGATTTAACATCTAGTTGGTATAACTTCCAGCTTCTTTATGCAGCAAGGGCAATTAAGGTTCTAATTGTATCCAGTCTAGCAACTGGAGCAAATGTCTCATTATAATCGATTTCGGGTTTCTGCACATACCCTTTGGCAACCAATCTTGCCTTGTTCTTTTGCACTGAACCATCCAAATTCAATTTGGTTTTGAACACCCATTTAACTCTAATGACTTGTTTATCAATTGGTCTATCTACAAGCTCCCAAGTCTCATTCTTCTCAATCATTGACAATTCTTCCTCCATTGCTTTTATCCAGGACTTATCTTGTGCAACTTCTTCATATTTCTCTGGCTCCACAATGTAGAGATTGCATTGAGCTAGTATATCACCTATATTTCTCTACTTCAATAGGGTATGCTCATAGGGCTGAGCAATCTTTTAGATTCATGAGTGACCCTTTCTTGTCCCTTAGTACTTGGAAGGATACTAGAACTAGAGACACTATCTTCAACCTTACTCAGTCTATGTGAACTCACGCCAATCACATTCTCAGGTTGATTTTGAATATAAGTCACAGCAACA